GGGCGGTGCCTGCGGAGCAGCGCGGACAGCGCGCATGGACGCGTTTACTTTGGACCGGGCGGTGCGCCGGGCGTAAAGAGCCAAAGCAAATGGATTGGGAAAGGCGCAGTTCCTGGCAGTCCAATTGTTCTTGCTGGCAGAGCCAGAACCGGCCCTGGATAAGGCAGGAATGTAGCTCCTTTGTGTCTAGTTCCTGGAGCAATGTGTCCAGGGAACAAGCAGGAGCCACGGAATAATTCTCATAGCGGTACTGTTTTATTCCGTGCTCTGTTCTGTGTCCTGTTGTTTTAGATTAGGAAATCAAAGAAAACAGGTTTATGCTGGAAGCTTTCAGTGGTTGCTTCATGCAGAGCCCTGTAGGGTCTTGAATGTTCACGACATCATTTTTACATTCATCTGGTTACTTTAGGACTCACCTTAGAGCCATCTCCTGTCCAGGGACTGTTGGGTCCCCAGCAAGATACCAAGAGCTGATGTGCTGGCTCTGAGGACTTAATACAAGTGATTTGTTATCCAAAGCCTGCAAGGAGCTGAGAGTCCTTCCATACCTCTCTCTTCCTCCTGCTTCCTCAAGTGCCCCTGTGTGCCTGGAAGCCARGGAGCACAGCAGCCTGGGGAAGGAAGCTCACCACATCCCTCCAGTACCTGGCAAAAGGTTTGGCTGGATGTGCTTGGGGGGTGCTGCAGCCCTGGCTGGAATTTCCCTCCATGATGAATTTGTCCCATCCTTTGCCCCTGGAGAAAGTCAGTAGAGAGTGACAGGGTTTGCCCAGCTATTGGCTCCACTGTGCTGGCTCCAGTGTGCTGACTKGGCATATCCCAGTTCCCTGCTGCCCTGCTGCCTTGTCTCTCCCTTCTCCCCAGATTAAGGCATCTGTTTTCTTCCATAGTGCATAAATTGGAGGCTCCCTGGAGCCAGGTCTGCCCAGCTCTGCATTTGTGCAGGGAAACCCCATTCTCCCTCTTTTTCTCTGCACAGCCCCTTACAGGCAGGGCTGGGGAGGCTGTCTGTGTCCATCAGCTGCTTCCTCTGGCTGTGCCCCTGCAGTGCTGTGTGCCAGCTGCCTTGGTGTCCAGAAAGAAGCTCCCACACATGCACCCAGGGACTGGGATGTRTGGATTGGCCAGGAAAATAAAAATCACTGTGTCTGARCTTTCYTTTGTTTATTTACTTATCTTGCTAGTAAACAGAGCAGCTCTTGGAGATTAGGCAGGATGSAGAAGAGGAAGGGAGACCGGGCACYGAGGTTATGACCTCCTTGTGGATGCTGGGCTGTTTACATTCCCKGTTTTGGTCCCAGTAACTACTGCAGGACAGTTTTTTCCCAGCACTTTGCCAGGCTGCAGAGCTTTTCCCRTTTGTGCTGTTTCTGCCCTTTTCCCAACAGCACTTTCTGCCGGGCACTGCTGCCACAGCTAGCATAAGGCAGCTGGCAGTCTGGTGTCCCTTGAGGGCCAGAGTCCTGCACTTGGTCTGCTGCCTTGTGTTTCATGAATGAAAGCCTCTGAATGGGGATTTYGGGAGCTGTTAGCTCTGCATAGCTGAGCTGAGCCAAAACCCGAGGCTCTCTGGAGAGCTGCAGGCAAACCCCAGGCTACTCAGACAGACCATGGCTATGAGACATGTAACTGTCATTAYTAGCCAGCAGCTGCTGGCAGGACCCAGAGAGTGAGACAAGGAGTACCCAAGAGCATTGAAAAGGAGGGATTGAGGAGGAGGAGTGGCAGCAAAGGTAGCACAGGGAGTGTGGGCTAGGAAAGATGAGAGTGGGGCAGGAAAGATGCATGTTGGTGTCCTGGTGTACTCTGCTAAAATCCCATTGCATTGCAGGCTGTGCTGGCCACTGTGGCAGAAGCGATGGGGGTCGGGGGTGCATTCCTGTGCAGCTGAAGGAATCTCACCTGGTGCTCCTCAGCTGCTGGGTGTTATGAAGCAGGGGCCCCCTCTGTTGCCACAGCCACGGGCAACTGTTTCCTGCAAGGCCCACCCTCTTTCCCATCCTGGGTGTATCCCGGGTGTCCCCTGGGGCAGAGTTGGTGGCTGCAGCTTCCCAGCTGGAGCGTAAGCAAGCAAGGAGCTGACACAAGTGCAGACAGTGCTGGTGATGTGGACAAACGTGCTGAGAAGGGAATGAGCTGGACAGCCGAGCACGGCAGCACATTTTATGGGCCTGCAGAGGAGCTGAAAACTGTCTCAGCTCCTCGGAGAGCTGCCAGCCTAGCCAGGATGGCATTCTGTTCTGTACCATCAGGGCTAACTGCTGGAGACAGTGCTTTCCCTCCTCCCAGGGAATTCTGTATCCCTGGGGGCTGAATGTCATCCCCCAAGTGCTTGTGTGAGGGAGGACAAGGCAGGACGGAAGCTGGGTAGAGCCTGGGAGCACTGGAACATTGTGTGCTGGGAGGCTGTTTGGATTAGAAACTCTCAGCGGATAAGTGGGCTGGATAAAATGCCAGGGAGGGGAATCAGTTTGCTGAACTCTAGTAATTGGACTCATCTGMAAGAGCCGGGTAAGCAAAGCGAGCTGCTCACACTCAGCACAGGCAGAGAAAAGCAGCCAGCAGAGGAGAGCCAGCCAAGCCACGGACCAGCAGGGGCAGTGGGGCAAGCTGTCAGCACGGCACAAACTGTGAACACTGGGTGCATGACATGGGAAGAAGTGGCATTACTGCTGGCTGCTTAAGCCACTTGCTGAGCTCCAGTGACTGAGTTAAGGCGGACATGGTGCACGGCGTAGGGGGAACACAAAGCACAGTCTAAGGAGAAGGATGTGCTAAGGTATCTTGAGTGTGATATGATTGCTCCTTGGAAAGTCCATGCTCAAAGACCTGAGACAAAAATGAGTCAAGACCAAAGCTCCTTCAGTCACAGATGTAGAGGCAGGAATGAAGCTGCTGAAGGAAGCCCAAACCAGTGTTTTCTGTGTGCTACAGGGGAGAAAATAGGTCACTTAGTAAGTGAAGGGGATGGAAATGATGAGCTGAACTGAGTGTGGAATGCATGCTTAAAACTCAAGCTTCCAGGGAAAGAAGACAAAAAGCCCAAACAAACAGCTGGTGATCAAATGCAGGTACGTGAGTAGCTGGAAAGCTGAGCTCTGTGGGTTTGCAGACGCACACACACGTTGTCTGAGTCATCAGCAGTTTTGGCATGCTTGAAATTCATATCTGACGCTGCAGGTACCAGGGCACGTGTTCTGCTGGTCTTTGCTGATGACCSTGGTAGCAACTGTCTCCTACACTGGTCGTCCTTGGGAAAGTCTGGCTGCCATAACTGCCTGGGTGGCCAAGAAGAAACAGGCAGGGCCTACTAAGGGGAATAACAGCATGGATTCAGTGCCTCAGGTTAGCAAAGGATTTGGTGCAGCTCCTGGCTTGGCCGCCTGTGTGTACGTGTGCTTGTCTCTGCCTGGAAAATGGCTGCTGTCTCATCCTCACATCAGCACAGCACACACAGGCAGGCCAAGYCCATAGCTGGACCTCTGTGGTACCAATGGAGTCCACAATCCCTATGGAAAATGAGTAGGCGGTTCTGAATCCGGCCCAGGGACCATCTCTGCTGCCAGCAAGTTTGTAATTTGTGCCCCCACTCCTTTAGGAGCCTTAAAAATAGAGACCAAGGCTGGGAAGCATGAAGGTTTTTGTAGGGCTTGTTGTGCAGGCAGCCCAGACTGGGCTGGCTGCCTCTTGCTCTTCCCAGCCCCTGGGAGAGGCATGGGAAGCTGCCGTCTGAACGCCTGCCCTGGATGTGGAGCCTCACTCGTCGGCTCATTCATCTATGGCAGTTGCCCAGGTCTGCTCTCGTGATGCAGGCAGCTGGAGGCAGCTGGTTCAAAGGCCAGGCTGGTCAGGAAGAGGTGAGGGAAGTGTGGGAAGTCAGTGCATGTCATGTAGGAAAACAARCTGCAGCAAGGGATGAGGGAGCACAATCCAGAGCTGGGTGGGAGCTGTTGCTGTCAGCATTGCTATTACTGTCCTGGACCTTCATACTCTGAAGAGGTGTTGGCTTTTGTTTTGCTTCCACCTTCCACACAAGTGCTCAGAAAGCTCCGTGGCACCATGCAGGTGTTGGCTGTGGCCCTGCCACCTCTTTGAGGGTGCATGGCAGTCTGGCTGGGCCACAGAGAAGGTGCTGCTGTGGGCTCATCCCTCCAAGCTGGCTTCAGAGAAGCCCCGGAGCAAACCTGGTGTGGCTGCAGGAAGCTAAGCCCTTGGGATGAGACAAAGGGCGGCCTGGACTCTTTGTGGTCACCAAGGGGGGGGTCCGTGACACCAGCAGTCTGGGCTGCTTCCTGGTCACCAGCCAGCTCCCCGCAGTTCCTCTGCTCACGCACTCCCGGCGCTGCAGCTGGTCCCRGGCTCGCTTTGCTCATTGTCTGCTGCGGGTGATGGCAGCTATTCAGCGCCTGCCAGGTTTCAGGGAAAGGGAGAGATGAGCCACTCCTCCACCCACATTCTGGGAAAGCCTCTGGGATGAAGCCCTGCCGATACACACGTTCACTCTCCTCAGCAGGGAGAGTGTGCTGTGGAGCTTATATCCCCCTCAGCCCACATCCCACACCCCCCTTATCAGCAGGAGTGATGCTGGGGAGCAGAGCTTGGAASCAGCCCTGGCTGCTGCCCTGTCCCACACAATAGCAGAGTCTGCTGCTCCCCGTCTTCTTGCCTGGTTGCCTTCCAGAGCCGGGCAGAGTCTCGCCATCACTATTATTTTGCTTTGTGTCAATATTATGACAACTAAAAGCAGGAGAACTGCATCCACATGATAAGCAGCCAGAAGCTCTGGGCTGGGTGTGGATCGGGTTCCAGTTTGGCAGGAGAGAAAAGCGCCTGGCAGCCCCTGCCCACCGACCGGCTGGGCTGGGAAAGCTGGGAGGTGAGGGGCAGCAGAAGCAGAGCAGCAGCCACTTTGTGCGCCTCTCCTCTCTGTTCAGTGCTCACTGCCCTTTCCCCAGGGCAGATGAAACATGATGAATGTGCAGAATGTGCTCGGTTCTCTGGCGGAAGAGTAACCTCTGTCTCTTTCCCGAGCAGAGAGCCGCTCTGTTCCTGCTGGAAGAGTCTCATCCCTCCCGCGGTTGCCGTACCCTGTGCCTCCACCCCTGCGGGCCCAGGGTGCTCCATCTCTGCCGGTGGCAGAAGGTCATGCACCCTTCTGCACCAGTCCATCCTGGCCGCAGCCTTGTTTTTCCCAGGCACAGCGCTCTGCAGTTGCTGGAGAGAAATTTCCAGGCTTTCTGGGGTTTGAAGGCTCAGCTTCTACACAGAGCTTCAGGAGAGGAGCTTGGACAAAGCAGGGTGAGCTGTGTGTGGTTACTGTTTCTGCTTCCTGCTCGGGTCTCTCGGTGCCCCATGTGCACGGGGCTGTTGTTTTGGCTCGGTAACTGCACTTGCTGTTGGGGCTGCTGACAGAATGCTTACCTGTAGGTACCCACGTATTCTCGGAGCTGCGGTTTGGCTCTCCAGTGCCTCACCCTGCTCCAGGGCTGTGCTTTTGTGCAAACACTCATGGCCGGGCCAGTCCCTGCAGCGTGGGGCTGCCCAGTCACTGGCCACTGAAAGCTAAGCTGAGTGGCACTGGGTTTGCCACCATCGTCCTGTTCCTGAGCACTGTCTGGATGAGGGCCACRGCTTCCCAGGGCTTGGGTCTGGCAGTCCCAGGGACGTCCTTCTTTGTAGCATCGTCCCCGCCCCCATGAGGGCTTTACGTCTCGTCTGAAAGCAGTAGCCACGCTTGCCTCGGATTTCCCTTGCCTGGATCGTCTGCCTGGAGCTCTCTCAGGCAGCCCCGGTGCTCATCCCATGCCCCTACCCCCAAACTCTCTTTGTCCTAGGCCAGTCCCCGATGYCTGTGAGCCATGGGGACCAGGCGCTGATGTCCCCAGGCACAGGGCTGGAGTGTCAGGTGCCTGCAGTTTTGGTTGTGGGTCCCCAGGGAGGCTGAGCTCCCCTCCCCAGGAACCAAAACAAACAGCAGAGTTCCTGCCACGTGCGGCCAGCGCTGACTAAGGCCGGACGCTTCCGCCTGCCGCGGGCACAGCGGCCGGGGCTGCGAGCCACCACATCGGGGTGCACGGCCCGGCCCATTTCCCGCTATTGTCAGCCTCCCCTCGGCAAACACATCCYCGGCGCACCTGGGCTGCGACAGTCACTGACGCCACCGCAGCCAGGGACAAGGCATGTGCTGCCGAGGGCATCTCTYGGAGCTGCTGCAGCACAGCTCTGAGGAGTCCTTCGGGCACCAGGAACCCAGGGAGGTTGTTTGCAAGTTGTTAGCTTGAGGTGTGACACTGACAGTTCAGGACTCATTGGTGCAGCCCTGCTTGCCTGTGAGGGCACTGGAGAGCCCTGCGTTTCTCAGAAGTCAGCAGCAGTCTCCTGGCAAAGAGGCCTGGGTTCACTGTGCCAAAAGGCTGGAGCTGGGCAAGCCCCAGCCGGACCATTCCCACCCTCATTCTCACTGTGGAGACGCAAACTGGCGATGATTGACCTGGTTTATCTCAGTGCTAACTGTGGACTGGCTSGCTGATAGTGGAGCTTGGGAGACTCCCTTAGAAGAGATCACAGGAAAGGCAAAGCAGTCAAATGAAACAGCGAGGGTGAAATCTGGGGACTCACGGATGACAGGCAGGTGTGAGGAGCCCAGTGCCTCTCGCCTTCGTGCTGCTTTGACCTCGGGAGTCCCATCACAGTGCAGGACATAGGGAGCTGCTGGTGGGATTCTTGACCACTGGGGTCAAACACAAGAGTGTGACTGTGCTAGGCCCTCAGTCATGGAGGGTTTGGCAGTTCTCTTGGTGGAAGTCTATAGCTGTGTCCTAAATAGCAGCAGAACAAAAACCATGCCCTGAGGATTTCAGCGGTGTTCTCCAAAGGCTTCAGGGCTGACACAGGAGGTCCTGGCTACAGTTGGTTTAAGAATGACACAGGTACAAATTTTTGTTGGGTTCTTTCCATGTGAGATGCCAAAGGTGGGATTTTGTAGGGGATAAGATGCCCGTGAGAGARCTCTGATGCTGAAATGAGGCTGTTTTACAGAAAAGATGACTTAGAAGGATCTTGCCTGCAATGAGCAGGGTGGGGTTCTGCAGGGAAGAGCAGATGCTTGCTCTGGGCTGTTTCAATGCTCACGGACAGCCAGGGGCCTTGCTCTTGCCCCTTACCCAGGAGGTGTAGGAGGCATGAARGTGACCCTGTTCCCTGGCAGGGCTGTGCCACAGCATGCTTGCAGCTGGGTGCCAGGGCTGGCCTTCCCCACTGGACAGCCAGGACTCACCCACAGCCAGGGCACAGCATCATTCCCCACTCTGTGAGCAGGGCAGGGAGGTGGCACAGGCAGGCAGTGCTATATTCCAGGTGATGCTCTCAGCCAGCAGTCACTGCATGGGGTTCACTGCAGGGGAGGCATCTGCTCTTTAAGGAAATGTCTCTATTTTCCTTACGTCCCTGGCTGGTTCCTTGAGCTTCCTCTGTCCCTTGTTCCCAAAGTGCGTAACTCTGCTCCCCAGAGCCCAGTGGGAGGCGGTACAATAAATGCTGGTACATTTATAGCATCGACCTCCAGCCCTACCCTGCAGCTGGGGAAGGACAGAGTTGGCCCCCCGGGAAGGAGCATGGCAGAGGGGAAAGCAAGAAACTGTGGCCCCAGCCAGTTTGATGTTTCTCCCATATGAAGGATGTTACTGATCACAGGTTACCAGTGTCCAAATATAATTTCTCTTCTCCTGTCTCTGTTCCACACTGTCTAGAGAGTGGATGCTCATCCCAGGAATGTAAACTCTGCCCAACCTCTGAGGAAATAGCTTCAGACCAGGAACAGGACTGCACTAAGCAATTAAGGGCTGCTCTCCCCAGCCACACGGCTCCTGGGGGAGAGCCCTTTGCTCCAGTGCCAGAGGCTGGCCTTGTGTCTRAGAGGTGGCCCCAAGGGACCTTCCTGCAAGGACAGGCATGAGGCCCCGTGTGGTCACGGTCTTTGCAATAACAGGATTCTGTCTGTCCAGTGAGCCGGCAGCTGCTGTTCAGGGCGGGCTCTGCTCTTGGATGGGAGGAAAWGCTCCCTTCAGCCCCATCTCACAACCATCCCTGAGGAAGCAGAGAGGGGTCCCCTTGGCCCAGGAGGGTCCATAGGGTGGCAGGGGGAGAGCATAGGCATGCTCCAGTCATCATATTAAGGATGTTACCTGCTCTTTGCTGCCCAGCCAGGAGTAAGAGCATGAACAGGCACTGAACAGCGCCACGGCAGCACCCCCCCGGCAGCTGCCGAGCCGCTGAGTGATGAACTGCAGCACACCCGCCCCGCGGTGGGGCTGGGATTACTGTGTGCTTATCTCTACAGCATCTCCATGCTAATTTGCCAGGCCTTGCTCCAGCAGCTTTCTCACACTTTCAGTGGYACCGATGCCTAGAAGCTCCTGACAGAGTCCAGTTCCTGCTGATGCCTGTGTCACTGCCACCTGCATGGCCCAACTGGGCTGAGGACAGGCAGCTGGCATGTCCTGCATCCCCTGGGGACTGATCCCACGGGSCTGGGAGCAGGCCACTGGAATCCTCATGCCACAGGGACAGACCTCACATAGTGTTAGGTGGGGAAACCCTGAAGCAACCTCCCTGCTCTCCCAGGAGGACAGAAACGTGAATCCTGGCATGGACACAGAGCCCGTTATTTCCCTGGGACCTGCAGCCCACGGGGGATCGTGTTGCCTGTTGGCATCTCATCACATTTCCCATAGTTCCAGCTTCCCTGGCCACTGGGGCTTAAAAATAGAACAGAAAAGGCCACAGAGCTCCTTTGGATTGGCAGTATGGTTTGAACCCCGACCTCCTGTGCTCCCTTCCAAGCTGTAGACCAGAACCGGGATGCTGACCTGAGRCTATGGGGGGCTGGAAACCGTCTGACAGGGGTCCAACGGCAGGGGCTGATGGAACAGGCACGGGGCAGCTTGAGGGGGAAGGGGGTGGGTGGTCACTCACGGGATGTCTGAGTGGGAGCAGGGCATCGGTAGGGAGATGGAGAGGATGGATGGGAAAGGGGCTGTTTATGGGCGCAGGGGAGCCAGGCRGGCACAGAACGGCTGGATGGGCATGCGAAAACAGCATGCCGAGAAGCCCGACACAGCCCCGAGGCTTCCCGCCCACCGGAGATTCACCGGCCGCGCACCGGTGAGCAGAAGCGCCGGGGCAGCCCGATGGAGAAATGGCCGAAGGCGGTGAGGGGACGCTGGAGGAGGGGGCTCCACCGAGCCCGGGAGCACCGGCCATCCCCGCGGCCGCCGGGGCCGGACACCTGCTCCCGCCCCGCGGCGGGGCCGGGGCGGGGCGGCGGCGGGGCGGTGGCGGTGAAATACGGCGGCGGAGCGGAGCGCGCTCCCATG